GATTCCAGAGATATGCCATCCTCTCATAATGATTGATCCAAGCTAGAGAAGCTCTTGTTCAGAATTAGCTTTTATCTTACCAAAAACCTTAATGCAGACAGGAATTGGAGCTGCTGCTAATGTTGGTTAGATATTCCATTATTACACTTTCAAAAACAAAGCCAAATTACCCTCTCTCCTGGCATCTGTTTGCAACCTGTGTCTGTTCAGTAAATTAATAACTCATTAAGCATGAGTTATTTGTGGCAGGAACCATCCTATTGTACTGAACCTAACACAAGCAAATCCTCCTTCATGGCCAGGGACAGCAAAACTTCAAAATATTTGAGACTATTCAGAGCAAAAGTTCCCCAAGATAAATTCTGTTTTTTTCTTCTTAATCTTCTAGGATGTCTCCTCTGTACTGTCATTTCCTGGTACCTGATTCTGAGTTTTCCAAGTTATTTCAGTTGTCTCATTTTAGCTCCTCTCATTTGCCCTTCCCTGCTGGCCAGCAGGTTAACAATTAAGGAGGGACAAGTAAATCCACACAGTGCTGTCCATGTGTTGTAGGGTTGTTTTTTTTTTTTTTTTTTTTTTTTTAAAGCACTGTTCTGCTTTGAGTTTGGTTTCTTGTATATGTTTACACCATACCCAGCAGCCAGCCTCCATTAGTAGTTTACTGAAACTACTTTGAAGAAGCCTAATTGGACCTCTTAGATGTAGGCGGAGTAAAGGTGCAACTTTCCAGCCCAGTATTCAGATCCAAGTTTCTTACTCATTTAGACTGTAAAGGTTTTTTTTTAGCATGAGAATGGTTGGTAAAGTCACAGATATGACTGTCTACATACATTTGACTCCCGTGTTTACACTTGGCTCTGAAGAGTCATTCTTTCAACCCCGCTGGAAAGTGTCAGTCCTAAAATAATCGTTTTCCCTAGGAACAGCATTATACCAGTAAGAATGACATGGTAGACTCTCTCCAGATTGCTACATTGCAATTATTAGGGGAACAAGAATGCAAATTATTGCAAACAAGAATGCAACTCAATCACAGTATTGTCTGTACCACATGTTTCAAATTACACTCAAACAGCTGTGATAATTAGCTAGGAAGTAATTCAGTATCATAAAAGTTCTTTGTTACAAGGAAAAAAAATAATAGGAAAGCCATAGTAAAGTGGGAAAACTGAACTCAAGGAGCAAACTCAGTAAGCATCCTGCTTGGGCTCAGCATGTAAATCCCAGGAAGAACCCCACCTTTAAAAAAAATAAATCTGTTTAGCCCCATTCCATTTTAGAAACACATGATTGTGTGCTTGAAATAACTTAAGATATAAGCAGAAAAAGCAAACACCAGAGCTATCAGGAACTACTGAAGCCATCAAAACCATTCCTCTGCAGCCACAGGCTAGCCAGACTCTGATACTGAACTAAAGCAAGTGTTCACTGTACCCAAAGTACACACAAAAATGTTGGGGAAAATGAACAGCCACTTAGGAACAAGTCAGACAATATCGATTTCCACAAAAGCTGAAGGGATACAGGAAGATGGAAGCCTCACAGCACTTGGCCAATACAAATGGAGCAGCCCATTGCCTCTTACTGCAAGGTAGACATCCATCCGTGTACTGAAGCATGCATTTCTGCCAGAATGAGGAGGTTTGAGGTATACGGGTGTGATATCATTACTGGTGCTACAGCCAGAAGAAAAAGGATTCAAGCAAGAATCCTGGCTGTCTCACAGAGCAAGTACAGAAACATAGCTCTGAGGGACATGCCAGGATAGAAAACACAGCCACAGAGTAAATGGACACTTGCAGCAAGGCAGTAATAGTAGCATTTGTTTTGTATGTGTTTAGCAAGCCACTGAAAAGCAATGTCTGTCACTTTCACACAGATCATAAATGATATTTGGAATCCCTCATTCAAGAGAGATGAAGTGTGACCATTACATCTTTCTCCGCCACATAGCCCTCTGAGCTCAGAAATGTAGGTTGCAATACTGTTATTTAGTAGTTCTTAGTGAAAGGCAGCATCTGACAATGTGAAAGGTATTAATATTTACACTCAACTGAGAGCAAGCTGCTTGTATCATTCATCTACTGAACACCAAAGCCTTGTCTCTCGAGTCACTGCAGCTCATCTTTTTTTCCCTTTCAACTTAAAACTGCCTTTCTTGCTGTGACCTATTTTCCAGGGAACATACGCTCAGCTAAAGCTGGAAGATCAAATCAGAACTGTAGCTACACTTTCTTTGAAGAGATACATCCTTTGCATTTGAAATACAGCATATTGGTTTCTTTCTGGCACTTATTTCTAAATGGAAACACTAAATCTGGTGGGAAGCCTAACTAATTGAAGAATCAGCCATCCTTATTACCAAAAGGACTTCTGGATTACAGCAGCAAAAGCCCCCCCCCCCCCAAGCAGGTTGGAATAGCTCTACAAGCAGCTCAGTTGCTACCTTTTGTCTGTAATACCCACAAAAGGCAGATGGGAATAGCTCCGCTGGTCTGACTTCTGATTAATTTGTTCCCAGCTCTACTTACATGGATATGTTTGTTGTTCTGAAGCCTGCTAGACCCTCACCAAGCATAGAATCAGTAAGGTTGGAAACTACCTTTCAGATCATCTAGTCCAATCATTAACCCATCCCCACCATGTCCACCAACCGTGTCCCTCAGTGCCACAACCACATATTTCTTTAACACCTCCAGGAATGGTGACTCTACCACTTCCCTGGGCAATCTGTGCTCACCACTCTCTCTGAGAATGTTTTCCTAACATCTAACCTGAACCTGCCCTGGTATAACTTCAGAACGTTACCACTCATCCTATCACTGGGAGAAGAGGCTGACACCCACCTCACCACAACCTCCATCCAGGTGATTGTAGAGAGCAATGAAGTCTTCTGGAAAGGAGGAGGCTCAGGAACAAACAGTTCCAGTTGCCTCAGCTACTCCTCATAAGGCTGCAGGCCCTCCACAGACTCGTTGCCCTTCTTTGGGCATGCATGTTAATTGAACCCAGCAGGAAGAAATACCTTTGGGATTCTCCTTATGTTCAGCTCAGCACGAGATATGCTCAGATTTGCTCCAGCACCTTCCCACAAAAGCTAGATTCTCCTGAGCAGCACTCAGACCCAGTCTTCCTTTCACTGGCTCCAAGTTAAGGGGAAAATCTAAATCACACAGTGGAAATCCCCTCTTTCCAGAATGCATGAATTCTTCCCAGCTCAAACCAAGGTGGAGGATGTTCATCAGAAAGGAAGATCCAGAATGGGCTGCAATAGGTAAGTCTGGACACATTTAGCTCTAGAAAAGTAAAATCTTCAGTTATGCAGCTGCTGAGCTGCAATCTGCACTATACACTGCAGCTCTGAATTAACATAATGGCTTTAACTGAGCACATTTTCCTCACGATCTCATAGCAGTTCCTCATGTCTGTGCCTGACACATGCCTTTAGCAGGCCGTTCTCCAAGGTCTCCCCCTTTTCTCCCTATGGACTTCATGGACACAGAACTCAAGTTCTTCAAGTACTAGAAGTTACTTTAGAAGTTCCCCTTCCCCCAGAAGGGTACTGCTGCTAGCTTGGGAACATTAGAAGACAGCTACTGCATAGACAGAGTCAGAGGCAAGCTCTGCAACTGGAAATGGCTCCATTAATATCTTTTGCATCATGGGTCAAGGGTCATACCTAAAGCTCTCAATTGAATGTGCATCTTCCCATTTGCTTCACTGTGAACTGAATCAAGACCTTGGCCTCCATCCAAGAGCCCCTATACTTTTGACTGCACATTTACATGCTGCAGTTGGAAAGAGGCTGAACTCATCCTGTAAACATTTCCCTATTTTTAAGCTGCAGTAATGCCTCCATACACCCAAATCTGCAGCTTTTGGAGCTGTGGTTTTTGAAGTGGTTCACTTAGAAATAAAGCCTTATTTTTAAAAATGGCTTTGATCTTTTGACTTGTCAATTTTTAGTTTTTACAGATACACAGTATGTATAAAAAAAGGCAAGTTCTAGAAAAGAGCTGTAAGAATAAGTACATCCACAGTAGTTTTAAACTAGCATGTTTCTTGTGCTAGAGGATAAAAGGCCAGGTCTTTCAGGCTAGGTCAGCTGGAAAACACAGTGTTCCTTCAAGATAACAAATTGTCAGACCTTCAGATCATCTCTTTGCTTGTCCATTGTCCAAAGAGACTTGGCCTTAGTGAAGGAGGAAAAAGTGCAGGATTTGATCAGCAACCGAGAAAGTCCTGAGAACAGATTCTTTTTCTCCAGCTGTTTCCCATCATGTTTCTCTATGTATCAACTTTAGACAGACTAACCCAAGAGAGCGGTGCTCCAGAAGTGATGAAGGCGAGAATGCAGCTTTATGCTCTGAAAAAACAGCACGTGCCCTAGGGCTGATTTTCCATATTTTCATTTTCCCTTCCACTCAGTCTTGTATGCATTTTGACAGATACTATCTGTAAAGAAGGGGTGTTGTTGTTTGTTTGTTTTGCTCTTTTCATATAATTTCAGTGCGTATCAGGTCACAGCAAGATAGCCTTGAGGAATTGATGCAATGGATTTAACACGCAGCTGCAGACATCATAGAAACCTTCTGCAAGATTACCTTGACCTTCTGACGCATGAGCAGCCAACTTCCAAATGAATTATAACTATCCTCGTACTCAAAGTATAGTAACATCGTGCAGAAGGCCAACTGTCAGGAGTGACAAATAACAGAAGGAATTCGTCATCACCATGTTGTGCAGCTTCTCCCTGAGATGACCAAAAGACACTAATGCCAGCCAGGCCCATGCCCCAGTTTTCAGAAGTAGCCAGCACATTGCTATTGGCACACCATTTTAGTCCAATGCAATTGCTTTCCTGTCTCTAAGCTGCTTTTGTAAAGGCTGATGTGAGCTCCTTAGTTGCTTAGGTTTTACTGAAGTTTCTACTCAGCTCATATTAATTAAGAGGCAAATAACACTCATTATGGATCCTAATTAGTACTAAGTTGGCAGAGAGATGATGTATCAAAAATACAGTGTTTAATGAGTATGTGGCAGATATTAGTCATCTCACTTAACACAGCTGGCAGAGGCTCCTCTCACAACAGAGTGGGCTGGTGAAAAGGAACCAACCACAAACACTGCTTTCCTTTGCAGAAGCATTTGTGCACCACTAGCTGACCTATCAATAAACCAATCACCAATAAACATCTGTCAAAAGCTCTCCCTGTCAGTCAACCACTGCTCTGCTGGAAGACCCTTACAACTTCAGGAGGCCACGGTGGCCAAGCAACACAAGCTGCACTCAGCCATATGCCCAGCAGAAACCCGTCCATCATAGCCAGCAGTCGCTTAAGTCCTCAGCAGCAGCGGCAACTTCACAAGAGCACACTACAGAATATGGATATCCTGTGGTGCTAAGCCGCCACCTGCAATAAATAGCGAGGAATTCACGTTAATCACTTCATTAGAATATGAAAGTCACAAAACATGCTGCTTTAGGAACTGAATGGTTATTGCCATTTGCAGTGTTTTACTGCTTGGTAAGCTCCCCTAAATGGCTAGCTGCTCTTTCCATCAAAAACTCATTTCATTTTCTTAAGTACTGTAGAGCTGTAGAAATTGCAAACAAAAAGGCATCTGCAATTTGGGCTTCATAAGTAGTTGAAAAATCTACACTTAAAATTAATTGGGAGGTTTTAGAGTATGTTTAGACAAAAAGCTCACATTTAACAGTAGCCAGATAAGGAAACTTTAAGAAATTAATGAAAATAAAATACATTGCATAAATCCTCTGATAGCCTTGCCTGGAATATCAGTCAGTCTGAGTGTTTTTACCAGCATCCGTGAGATGCAGCTGCACTCACCTTGGAGATATCGGTGTCTGCTCAGTCCTGCATTGAAGACAAAGCTACAGTTGAACATCACAGATGAGGAGAAAAGGAAAACTAAGTACTAAGTTTACCTGTAATCTGCTCTTCTCCTTTTCACTACAGTCAGGACTCACAGAACATTAATCAAAATTGCCTGATTGACAATGAGCAGCACAGTTTGTTTGTTTTTTTTTTAGTAAAGAGTGATTTGGGTAACTTAGTTATTCTGGCCAGGCTACAAATGCATGCAGACACTCTGCAATGACCTTTTCTAAAAGGCTAACTGCCCCTCTGCTTTTATAGTACGGGCTCCCTAAAGTTTTGTTAGGAGAAGTGATAAGTTCTTTAGTTACTACCAAAGGACCAAGGTCTGCTTCAGGCTTATAGCAACCAGGTAACGTGCATCATAAAAAAAGGGTTTAAAACACGCCTTGTACTACCTCCTGTAAACACTGCCAACTCTCCTTATGGGCTCAACAAATCAAGCACTGTCCTGAGCTGGCCAGAGAGCCCAAAGTACCTGCCAGTGCTACCAAGGACTGTAATGGCAAGGAAGAAACCATTGCATCCCTCTCAAAACTCTGGATTTTGCAGTTGAGTTTAGTCCTTTCCTCCAGATAAAGTGGAAGCATAATCCTAAGTGAAAGAGAAAGCACTTTTCTTCCTTACATAAGGGAACCACACAACTTGGTTTAATAGCATATTTTGCAACATAGGCTGTTCCCTACCCTTTAACACTCAAACCACTACAGAAATAACAGTGCTTCCAGCAATCTGTAAAGACACAGCAATAAAAGAGCACTACATTTCACAGCAAGACAAGAGGGCTGAGAATGTCAATTTTTTCCTCATTTCACAGTGGCTTTTACCTAGAGTGGAATGGCCATTTTGGATACAAAGCACATTTTCCTTGCTCCATATGTGTTGATTTGTGAATTTGCTCTCTGCAGATTTCTCATTCTGAGAGCAACCATGTCCTTGTAACCATGGAAACCACTTTCAGCAAATTTCCTCAAAATACAGAAGCAGAAGGATGCAGAAGAACAAACATTTTAAGAAGGTTTTACACAAGGAGTATGACAGCATCTCCACAGAAGCATTCCAAATGGCTTGAGGATTATGCAGAAATGGATAAAGTCACAGTTTCCTGCTGCTAGAGGGCTGGCTGCCAGGCTGCTCACCTTCCTAGCTGGACTCAAAACACGTGTTAGGCTCAGACTACATAGAAGACTTGCACTTGTACAGTGTTGGAGCTTTCCTGAACATTTGGTGGATCAGGTGACTCAGCACTGAATTTTCCTGGAAGCATAAGACAATCCAGGACAGAATCCCATCAATTTTTAATCATGTTTTTAAGAATGATAACTTGAATTGCCTTCAGAAGAAAAAAATAAAGGCATGCACCTGTATAAAACCATAAGGAAAGAGGAAGAGTCATCTGAGCAGATCTTAGTCTTCCTACTTTAGTTTCCAACCTGCAGCAGCGCCTGTAAATGGCAAGAGTAAATACCTTTTGGGAGACCATTCCACCCTAATGCCTACCACCAGCAATTCCCCAGCTTCAAGGGACTCCTTGAGCCTGCTGAAGTTTGTCTAGAGGGTAAAACTCAAGGCAAATCTTCTCCAAGTACTTTTCCAGGGTCCCTTCCAAACCACATCAGCTTCTTGCACCAGCACCATCCTCCTGCAGGCAGCACAACAGGCAGCACCCACTCCACATGAACAACCACCTCTGTTCATAGTGAACTAGTCTGCTAGTGCCACTTCATGGCCCTCTGTACTCATGCTAGAAGAAATAATCTCTCTACTCATTCAGCCCTCCTATATCACTCATTTTGTACGTCTGTATCATATCATCCACGCAGCCCTTTTCCAGGGATGGAAAACTCAGTCTGCTCAGTGAGACAAAAATCTTTCTCCTCCCACTACTGCAACACATCTTAACATGGAGGAAATAGAGCTGTGGAGAGGAGGATGAACCTATGGGCTACATACTGGCTTTTCTTTTAGCCACTGTATTTTTCATTAGTACTGAGCAATAAATGGTTATAGTTATTATAAACCCAGTGTCACACTTAAATGGCAATAATTAAATCAGAGCCCAATTTTTATGTGAGGCCTTCACCAGAACTTAGATTTACCAGCATTAAATTTCATCTATTATCATACATCTCAAACTCAGCAACTCCATCCCTATCCCACAGCACCTCCAGAACACCTGGATGAATACCACCAGGCCTGGATATCCATTAGCTTTCATTTTGTTTATTTGTAGCTCTGCCTGTTTCACTATTACTTCAAAATTCAGGCTGATTGTTTGCTGAACTCCTACTGAAAAGGACATTAGGAATTTCCCCAGCTTCCTCCTCTGCAGCAAGCAGAAAACTAATTAGTTCCTTTGCAGTAGCCTTGTCCACATGGCTGTTAGATGACCCCAGTAATTTCTAGTGGACTTTGATCTTTGTTTAACCATACAGCCTCTGCTCCTCCCTGGGATTTCACAGCTGTTGCTCAAGGCAGCATTGACAGCATGCAGCTGTGTGACCTTGGATCTGGTTGCTGGAAACAGAGCTAGGAGAAGGCTTGCTGGGGGCCTCCACTCCTCTTTCCCTTGGGAGAGGCATTGACCCTTCCCTTGGTCCCTGCCCAAGCTACGTAGGTGACCCTGAGCCCAAACTTACTCCTCACCAGCCCAGATCCAGAAGTTAACTTCCTAGCCTTGGTCCTTCTCACCCCCTATGGACTCATCTGACTAGCTGGACTCCTGGATGTACCCCAGCCACCATCACTCAACTTGCCCCGATCACTGAAGGACTGAGCCCAGCCATGACCTGCCAGCCTTCCTCACTCCCAGCCTCCCTCTCCCTAATTCTGGGGACAGGCTAGGGGAAGGAGACTGCTTCGTTCACCTCACTAGCCCTCAAATTGGATTCATATGTTACAGTAATGAAGCTCCAGACTCACGAGGACTAAATGTGAGGTGTGTTTTTGGATAGAAAGACAGAGAGGAGGGACTTCCTCTTAGCTCTGCTGTTAGACAAGGAGGCAGGGCAGCTGTGTACTCTACATTTCCCATGCATGACCTTCACCTACTTGCTTAAATGCTCCCCATTGGTCTCTCTCATTCTAGGAAGGGATGAAAGTATCCTCCTGAGAGGAAAGGCACACAGCTTCCTCCCTCCTTGTAACTAGTGCCAACAGCAGCAGCTGCCCTGACCAGGGCTGGGAGGTCTGGAAGCAGGCCATTAGCCTGAGCAAGTTCAGAGGCTTCATTTACAGAGCTGGGACAAGATAAGATACAGAGAAGACCTTGGTTCTCCCCTGTGCAAAACAGAAATATCACGCTGGCAGTAGGATATAAATAGGGCATCAGGTATTATTCCTAAGCTTTATACCAATATACTTACTTGCAAGAAGCTCTCCATGTAAAAGCAGCAAGAAAAATCTTTACTATTGAGTATACCGTATTAAATTTCTTATGTTAGCATCACTGGTTTGAGACTTGCTTGCAGGCTTGCCTTTTAAAAATGCATGTTCTAGCAACAATATTACTATGCTAAGCGATGAAGACCTGTACTTTACCTCTCACTAGGCTTTAGAAAACCAATCCTGCAATATTACCTTCAAAAAAACAGTACTAACACATTTTGTGTTTGCATATTGAGGTACATGCACAGAAATTTTTGAAATAAAATTCAGCCTAAGGTCTACAGTCATGTTTCAGCAGGCTGCAAGTCTAAGCTTCAGTGGGTACCAAGGAACCTTGGAGGGCAGGAAGTTGTAACACCAGGCTTTCTCAGCATCAGATTCACCCTCGAAATCAAAATAGCTCTCCCTCCCCAATCCTTCTTTAAGGAAAGGCAAGGTAGTTCTACAGATTTTAGTTCACAGGGTTTTTACCCTTCACTCCTTCCTGTTTTGTTGCATAAGTTGTCACTTAGTGACAAAGCATCAGAAGAGGAGGGAGAAAAACAGGGATATCAATGAAAAGTTTGAACGTATCTTATAATGGAACAGTTCAGATAATGAACTGTATGAATACACGGGAAGCTAGGTCTCCAGGAAGAAGCTACATTCTCCTTATTTTTAGGTTATTAGATACAGTTAGTAGAGTATTCAGGAACACAGTAAAGATTATGAAGTCTGCATTCTGAGCGAGGAGTTCCACAGAGCACGGACAGTCTGTTATTGGTAATAATTGCAGTAGATCACAGGAAACTGCTCAGATCTGCAGTTGGAATGGAATGAGGGCTTTGATTTTTGGTCTAAAAGGCTCCCAGGAAATGCTCAATATCTACTGCATGAAGTTGACTACCACCTGTTGCCCAAAGGAAAGACATCTTCTCCACCTCCCAGCCCAGCAATTTGGTAATTGCCTCAGCTGCCACATACAAGCAGGAGCTCTGTTATCCCAAGCCCTAAAAACATCAGGACTGCACATCACACAGAGCATCTTTTCTCCCAGAGCTTTCCTACTCAAAAGGAGTAGAACTGCAGCAGACCTGGAGAGGAAACCAGCCCTTCCCCTGGTTCTGCAGGATGGTGAGGGAAACAGCATCACACCAGCTGGCACAGCAGCAGACCCTGCTCAGCTCTGTCCTAATACTGATCTCCAGGTGGCTCATTTGGGAACAGCTTGGCTGCCTGAAAGCCATCAGCTGTGCACAGAGCAGAGGCATCTTGAATCCCAATCAAAGCAGCAATTAGATTTTACCACTTGTTAGAGTGCAGTAGCAAAGAGGTAGAAAGGTGATGAGATAGGAATAGCTTCTTTGGTGAAAATAGCTTAACGCAGGTTCTATTTATTCAGGATAACCCTTCTTCTTGATACATGCTCCATGCACTTCCTTTTACCCCAAAATTCCATGTTCACAAGTGTCTGTTCCTGATCTGTAATCACAGTCCCTGCACGAGCCATGACAGCACTCAGCTATTTCTAGCCTCACAGTCTGGAGTCCCATTGATTAGCATTATATCAGTCCGCTCCACAGGCCAGAATGGTAACATCACCATAGATAAACAGGATATTTCCCCTATTCAGGCTGATTAAGGGAGGTTTCTGAGTGAACTAATCTAACTGCATATAAAGCACAGAAGATAAATATCTCCCTTTCATCTATTACTGAATTACCATTGATATGCCTAGTAAGCTGCACATTAAGATCTAATTGCTTCCTGCTTCCCTCATTAACCTGAAGCACTGTACCACTGAAAATCCTACTCTTCCAGGAGGTACCACAGTGCCCCACAGCCTCTGATCATCCTAGAACCTTGAATCTAGAGCTGCAATCTCTAAGCTGTCTAAAGTAATAATGCCATCTTCTCTGCTTATCACAGCCATGTAACTACTCTGCAACACTCCCTTGTCTCACTAAGCAGTATATTTCCCTGCCTATTATTTGCCTCATAGAGACCTAATGCTGTGGGTCTACAAAAAATAATGCTTGTTTTTCATTTAAGCATTTTAAACCCCTTAAACCAAAGCTTGATAGATTAATTACCTACTTCAATAGTACCTGTTACTATATCCTTAACCTGAAGTTCTTGTTTGCTATCATGTGCTAACACTCCTCATTTGCCAAATCTTGCCTCCTCAGTAAAATATCTAGTCAGCCATCCTCCACATCTGGCACTCCTTCACCATTTCTCAGGTTGTTAAGCACGGAGATTTAGCTGTAAGCCTTCTTACAGCCTAGTGAACTGCAGGTCTGGGCACTGCAATACAAAATGGGTTAAATCTCCTGGACTAGGGGAGATTGCTGAGTCAGCTCACAACCAAAGCCCAAGGCAGTAGCATTCTCCCAGCTGCATTTCAGTAGTGGTGAAGTAGAAAGGAGATCAAAGCTGCGCACTCTGAAAAAAGTCACCTGCTTGCACTTGAAGATGGGCAATACTGTGTATGGTTACATGGACTCCACAGTCACACCCCAACAAGAAATAAACATGGAAAGCTTCCAGCAACCCAGTGTCAGCCTCAAAACCTGTACATTGCTCATTCCTAGAAGCTAGGCATGAACATACTTCATTGTTTTACTCTAAAGCCTAATAACTTATTAAAGCTTCATAGATATCAATGTCACATCAGTGTTTTATAAAGCATCCATATTCCCTAGATGAAACAACTCCTAAGCACAGCATTTTTAGTCATCACTGTGAAGTACTCCTCTATAACAGAAAGGTGCGTACACACCAGTGTTAGCAAGTGCTTGTAAAGATGAGGCTTACCACAAGCAGAACAGATGAACTCACTATGAGTAGAACAAGGTGATGACAGTAATGGGTCTTCACCAGCAGGTCAGAGAGCAGCCCAGGAGCAGAGGCTCTTTCAGCTGGGCTGCACTGAAATAGAGTCTAGTGAGGGGTGGAGTGGGGACAACCCAAATAGGGGTAGTAGGTCAATCAGAGCTATTAGTATCCTCTAGGCCATAGCACCTGCACCCGTGTGCATTCCTCATTCTATAAAGAATGGAAGTATGCAGTGAAAGATACCTAGGCACTAAATGAAATAGAAGCTGAAATAGATAAATCCTTTACATGAGTTTCACCAAGCATTTTTAAAGGTGAAACACAGTAAGTTTTGTTGCTGCTGGATGCCTATTCCTACAAAGGAGAACACATTCACCTTGTACAAGGGCTCCTGATCATACACAGTAAATCTCCTTCCAACAAGGCCAACCAGGACAGCACCATTCCTTGCAGCATAACTGGTAAGGAAAAGCATGATTCTACACCCAGGTAATATCACTACAGGAGAACACCATCCACTCATACTCTACAGATAACTTACTGCAGATTAAAAACTAAAATCCCTGGATATCTCCTCTGTTTGTACCACAATGCTTCCCTTATTTCTCCATCTTCTCCTTTTAAGCTATCCACACACTCCCTTGCACCCCCTCTCCATACACCCATAGGTATATATCTGAAGGTCATCTGAGGACCTCTGAACCCAGCTTTCATAAGGTAAAGAGAAATTTGATACATTTGTGGAAACTTCTACTGTGAGAAGAGCATCTATTAATTCAGAAATCATGGATTCTGTTCAACACAACCATAATAGTTACAAGGGAAAATAATAGACAGTGGTTGTCACAACACAATAGAAAACATAACAAGACAGCAGAACAGCAAGGTCTTCAGATCTACTTAGACACAATAGCATTAGGCATATAAACAAGTAGGAAGAAAAAAAAAAAAAAAAAAAAAACCACCAAAAACTGCTTACCTTCAGAAGGCCCAAAAGTTCCTCAGGTAAGCAGAGATCTCCAGCAAGATACCCTCACCTCCACTGCCAACCCTTAAATAAGGTCTGGTAAGAGGCGCATTCTGGCTCCACCTCTTCCAGTCAGCTGCATTGCTTGCACCTGAGCTCCCCTGGTTGGCCCTGCCTTCCCACCAGGTGCTCAATCACTTTTTCAGGCCTGGACTTAGCATTTCTGCTACAACTGTTCTGGGAGTGGTAGTGGTGTGTTGTGTTTTCTTCATTTTACATAACCAAGTTGCTTTCTGCTGTGTGTAACTATTTATATTTCCAGTTTCACCTTGTATCAAGGTGATACAGCCAAGCAAGAGGTCAAGATTGCTTGCATATTTTTTCTAAATTAAACTACAATGCTAAATGAAGCTGATCTCCCTATGGAAATTACAAAGCTGCATGCAGGCCCCCACAGTGCTGTGTGTATTGTAAGGTTAGAAGAGAATCTGAATATCAGAAGATGGTGCTGAGGGCACTCCTGCAGCGTGGGCTGGGGTCTCATCCATGTCCTGTTGGCAGTAGCGGGCCCCTTTACAGCTGGAATGAGTCAGATCCTCAGTTCAGAGATGCAGGTAATCTCGCCAGGCAGCAGAAAGTGAATTTTACTACATAGAGTATCTTCAGACGTGAAGGAGCTTTCTTCTACCTCCCAACCTAAGCAAGTTCCCGTAACAGCAGCCTTTCAAGCAAAGAATGGCAAGAAGACCTTTGTAGCAACACTTGTCCTATGATACAAGGCATCTGCCTGCTAGCACTAGGCCAAAACTAAGCACTGCAAAATCCTGTCCTCGCCACCTCTTGATGCCCCCCTGTGTGATATGGAAGTTTGAGCTCTCTCTCACCAGTGCATGTGGGGTTATAAGCTGTAACTGTAAGGATAGATGCTATGTTAGCAGTGCCTGGGAGACCCCGAGGAATTCTGAATTAGTACAGTTCAATAAAAAATGCATCTGAACAACCTCCACATCTTCACTGTTGTTCTGATCTTTTATGTGAGTGCAAATTCCCATTATTAAATCTATCTGTCTATACAGTACTACCTTGGTGCGTTTCCCTTGTCTAAATTCCCCAATATATGTATTGCTAACAGTATTAACTATAATGAGAATGGGCTTAGAGCAAGAAGAAATTACCTGACAACAGGGAAAATGAGAATGTTCTGTGTGCTATAAAACTTGGGAACAGCACTTCAGGGTGTGAACATTTCCATAGGAAAGCAATTACACTGATGAAAGCTGACTGGTAAATAGTTTGAACAATTTGTGTGTGGGGGGGGAAGGGAATTCGGAGGTTGCTGACTGGGACAGGAATGAACATTATTGTAGGAAGCAATGAGAAGACAGTCATCTATTTTTTCAGAGTTTGGTGCTGACTTACAGAGTATTCCTGCTATAAAGGGTGGCCTTGAAATCAAGGCTGAGCTTTTTAAAGGTAGCTACAACAAATAATAACAAAAAGAGCAATGGACGAGATGTTGCATAGAGTGATATCATCAAGTTTCTGATGCAATACACACTGAGATGAATGGCAGTGCTTTGCACCCCTGAAGTTGCTTCCTGCAGAAATCCTGACAAGCAGCATGCAGGCCCACAGTCCACCCACAGGCCTCGCTGTTGCTGCTCACACCTATGGTGTATGGGAACTGCTGAGTCACGGCCTGAACCTCTGATTGATCACCTGAGGCGAGCCATGAGTCAGCCAGAGGAGCACAGGTGAAGGCAATTCAGCTGTGCTGCCGGAAGGGGGGGAGCCAGGCTGCAGCCCTCCTAGACCTATTTAAGAGCTGGCAACCAGAGGGGAAGGATCTCTGCTGGAGATCACCTCTCTTGGTGTTTTGTGGTGAGCTCAGCTGAAGGGTAAGCTCTTCCACTTATTCTCTTTTGTGATTATTGTCTATTTTGCCTAACTCTCTTGATATCTATTGATTATACAATTATATTGTGATTATAACATCTTGATATCTATTGATTATACACTATGGCCTAGAGCCCCACATCACCCCTGGGGCCCTCAGCCCCCCCCATGCATGCTGCAGGGGGCAGGGTCTCAGCTCCCCACAGCCTGGCCACCATCCCTGCCCAGCCAGGCCCACTCAAAAGCCCACGGCCTGGTCCAGCTTTGGTCTGTCCCTGTACCCAGGAGGTGCTATCTCCAGTGCTCTTACCTTCAGCTTGAGAAACTAGAAATGCAGGAAAGAAAAGGAAGAATACCCAACATGTCCAAGTAATGAAAAGGATAAACAGTTACACATTAAGCACTTAAGCAGAGGATTGCAAGGAGTGTTTCTGCAGGCTGATTGTTATCCAGGAACCAGCAGTAAACAAATCCTTACACTTCAGCTATGAGGTCTTTGCCCGAGTAAGAAATTCTTTACTCAGAGGGTGGTGAGGCAGTGGCACAGCTGCCCAGAGAAGCTGTGATGCCCCATCCCTGGAGGCTCAAGGCCAGGTTGGACTGGGCCCTGGGCAGCCTGAGATGGTGGGTAGCTGTCCTGCCCAAGGCTGGGGGTTGGAACCAGCTGATCTTTAAAGTCCCTTCCAACCCAAGTCATTCTATAACTCTATGATAGGCAACCAGTTTGGTGATAAGTTTCTTTCTACTTAGTAAGCATTACAACCCTGGAGTTGTACCTCACTGATGACTTTTGTCTTTTTGCACTCTGAGTACCTCCAGAGGCTTGTTTACATATACTCATATGAACTGGCAAACAAATATACATTAACTGTCTGCTACTATGACCACAACCCATGCAAACCCTATAATTTTACTCCTTTTCAGGAGGACTGGACCATGGAAATTATCATTTCCCATACAACTACTGTGAATCAAGAATGGGGAACACCTTCCTGTGCTCCAGGTCCTCCCTGCCCTGAAGCAGGCTCCTGCCTGGGGAGCAGCTTGTATTCCCAGCACTTCCAGCCAAAGAGTAAGCCAGGAGCTCTGGTATGACCACCCAGCCTTGAGTTCTGCAGACGGAGCTTATTTGGGTGTCAGGTGGCAATGTGCTCCTTCTGACTGATGTTGCAACCATGAAGGAGTGGCAGCAACCCTGGAAAAAAATTAAGGCAAATGCTTTGAGCAGACAAGCCTGGATGATTTCCTGTTTCTCAAGACATTTTTTTTATCCTCCCAGCAGAGAAGCAACTGCAAGACAAGAATGTTTCTTGCAGCCACAATGGTGAAAGAAGAGGAAGAAGCCAAGAAATGTTTTGGGGGTTTGTTTCACGGTATTCACTTCTTTGAGATAAATTCTTTTCTGTGAGGGATTGTTTCATGACTTGAAAATTCCCCAAAAGGGTTCTGTAAAAGGGAAAAATGCATGTAAAGTCTCCCCTGATGCCCAACAAACACTTGCAAGCATGTTTTGTGACCTGGAAGAGTCATTCCGAAAGAAGAAAAATGCTTGATCCACAGAGTGAGCACTTAGGACTCCACTTTGCCACCTTTTATTAGCTTCTGAACGTTTGATTGTTCAGCTGACAGTTCCTACATGCCAAGGTCTCCTCTCACTTTTGTGAAAGATTGAGGACATTACCTGGGAAGCTGATTGGCCCAAGCACTGTATGAAGAGCTGTCAGGATGCAGGAGAAGTGTGTGCCTGTTCAGTGGTGATGTTGTTACCCCAGCACTGCGGAGGAACATTACTCAGTCTGGCCTGATGGAGTAATTCAAAGAACTTTCAGACATGAGCTCTAGAACAGCTGGTCCAAATAGAATCCTGCAGAAAAGCAGACAGTTCTGAAGACTATACCATAACATACACAAGCAGGAAGGCTCCAGTGGAAACTTAAATTCAAATTTCTGACTTTCTACTGTTTCACTCAAATAGAGGTGCTGATCTCTGCTCGCTGGTGACAGTGACAGGACCCGAGGGAACAGCATAGGGTGACTTCAGGGCTGGGTCAGGCTGGAGGTTAGGAAATGGTTCTTCACCAAAGGCGGTGGGCATGAAACAGGCTGCACAGGGCAGTGGGCATGGCCCCAAGTGCCGGAGTTCAAGGAGTGTTTGGGCAGTGCTCTCATAGAGTTTGGTGGTGCTGTGCAGAGCCAGCAGTTGGACTCAATGTTCCTCGTGGGTCCCTTCCAGTAGAATCAACTCTTCTGTGATTCTAAATACTGTCTTAATAATCATTTAAAAAAACCTTGTGCACACATAATCTGCATCCTGAATTGTAAAAAGCAAGCTTCTTTTTATTCCTCAAAGACTGGTTCACCACAGATCTTGAATGTATGAACCTACCACATGAATAATTCATACTCTGAACCTCTCCCAGTTGTAGAGACCTGGTCCACAGGAGAAAGTTGCAGTGATTTAACCAAAGGTAATTTTAAATTGATTCTGTGCACAAAGCAATATACACAGTCATTTACATTCTTTTGATTTATCAAATAAATAGATTTTAGTGAAGAGAAATAAGTTACAAAGCAACACCACTCGAAAATACTTGATAAAAATGGCTTTTGAAAAATCCAAGCGAAATGGTGCAACTTCTGTTTGTAGATGAGCTCCTCTGCATTCCACTTCTCCTTCCATGAAGATTTCAACATGCATGCAACTGTTTTCAATGAGGAATGTGTTTTTACCTTTCAAGAATTAGTGGTGTTTCTCTTTCATTTTTAAATGATAGATCTTAAAGAGCTTTGAAAGAGGTAAGTAATCATAATAGGACTAACAATTCTTAAGAACATTCAAACAGACCAGGGGAAAACAGCATGACAAAAAACAATGACACTTGGGTGCTCTAGAAAACATAATTGTAGGAAAGACATGAGGAGACAAAGTAGATTAACCAAAAGCAACATGGTATGCTGACAGTAGGACCAGGGACTGACATCAAATATTTGAACTCTCAATCCAGCACACTTATTTACTAGATACTAACCCACCACGGTTAACTTAAATCACTAAAGAATTGAAAAAGAATTATAACGAACAAAATTGAAGACAAACAAACAAAAAAAGAAACACATTTCAAACTCAAAAGTCTGTTCAA